CATTTATCTCAGCCCTGATTTTTTTGTTATTTCTTTTCTTTTGCTATTAGTAGGATTGCCTGTTGACTCTGCTCTAATTGCTGGAGGTTTTCCACGAGCATATCAATCATAAGTCGATCTTCATTTTTCATGCGTGCAGTTATTGCTATCAAACTTCCTCTGACAACTGCTTTTGCTATGTCCCAGATATCTACCGGCAGAAAAATGAAGCAAGACCCTTACCTCAAGGTGGAACACAAACTTGAGGTAAACCCCCAAACTATTAGGACCATTAATGAGAGAATTGGGACAAACTTTAGCCAGGGAATACACAGGCTATCAGAAATAGGGAAGGACACAAACACAGAGGAAGCACAAATTGACAAGTGGAATATCCTGAAGATAAAACACCTGTTTATATTGAAATACTTCAAAAAGAGAGTAATAAGAGAGCCCATAGACTGGGAAAACATCTTTAGGAATGACATATTAGAAAAAAGACCTTAATACTAAAATCTATAATACTCTGCTAGCCTACAATAAGAAAGAAACACACAGCCCACTGAGGAGGTGGGCAAAAGTCCTGAACAGACGTTTCACAAGGGCATAAATCCGAATGGCCAATACACATATGAGAAAATGTTCCTGATCATTAGCTATAAGGGAAATGCTAATTAAAACAACTATGAGATGCCACCTAACACCCTCAAAGATAACCCAATTAAAAAAATCAGAAAGCAGCAAGCATTGGAGGGTGTGTGGTGAGATAGGAACTCTCATCTACTGCTGGTGGACCTGTAGGTATGTGTGGCCATTTATGGAAATTTGTGGTAAACTGAGGGACTGGATAAGAATGTAATGCAGCAAATCATCCATGCTCGTAATTATGGGGCTGGAAAGCTGACTCTGGTGGAGAAAGACCCTCATGGTTATGAGATATAAATAAATCTTAATATACATTCTCATGACTGAACACAGCCCCTCCAATAGCCTCCTATAAAAGAACTGTCATTAAAGTGCTACTGTTTCTGTCATTTCTGTCTCTGGCTACTTCACAATGCCTAAAGATTATCTGTAGATAAAAGCAACCAGGTTCTATAGCCAACACACTGTAAAATGTCAGACACTCTGTTTGACTTCTTTTGCTGATACTGGGGAAGGCTCAGGGGGGTTTGAGGTCCACTAGCACAAGGTCAAGAGGATGACTCATATCATTTCTTGTTTATTGTTACTTGCTCATGATATTATCCATTGACTAAGTATGTGTTAGTCAGGGTTCTCTAGAGAAACAAAGTCAGGACACTTATGAATATATATATACAGCATGAAGGAATATAACAGCTAATTAGTCCACACAGCAGTACAGAGGGCTCAGTTCAACTCACTTCTGTGAGTTAATACACTAGAAGTCCTTCAATGCACGAGAGCTGTTGGGTCCAACGTCAAGGAAGCAGACAACTGAGTATTCCCTAGGGCAATGTAGGCCGATCCAGCCACAGGCAGCAAAGAGTAGGGTGGGCCACCAACAATCAGCAGCTCAGGAGATGGCTCAGATGGGATATTGAACTCAAGCAATTCAAGATGACAGGATCCTCCAGTCTCAAGCTCAAGAGATGTATACACCAGCAATGTGGTGAAGAAGGTCTCTAAGGAACCTCAAGCTGTAGTGACATGATCAATTGGTTGGCTGTCCCACAGGCAGTGTAGCTCACACATTGAGGCAGAGAACTAGCTAAAACAGCTGCACACTGATCTGATCACTAGAGAGCAAGAGAGAGAGGGGCAGGCCTTGCTGAGCCATTTATCTCTTTGCCCTGCAATCAAACTGCAATCTTATTAATCCCACATGTTCTTATTGGCCAGGTTGACAATAAACCAAACTATTACAATGCATATGTTAGCTGTATGATGTGCATGCCTTTGAAAGATCTGTATGCCCCTTTGTATATGCCCATTGGAAAATACATTCTCTCAGTCCTGACCCAGGATGGGGAACTGCTGTATCCCTCTGTCTGTCTTTAATACTTTCCACAGTCACAAAGTTGCTCCTGAGGACCCGTTTGAGTGTTGGGGACTCCCTCACCCCAACAGAAATTGACTTGGTGATACCTAAAACAAATGGAAATCTAGCTACAATATGACTCTGCAATCCCCCTATAGGGCATATACCCAGAGCAGGTAAGAAACAGACCATGGCCAGACATCTGTACTCCATGGTTCAACATAGTGCAGTTCACAATGGGAAAGAGTTGGAAACCTAAATTTCCATCAACAGATGAATGGATTGACAAACTCTGGTACATAAATACAATGGAGTACTATGCATCTGTAAAAAGCAGTGATGGATGCAGGAAGCACAGCATCACATGGGAAGAGTAGGAGGAAATTATGCTAAGTGAAGTAAGCAAAGCACAAAAGGACAAGTACAACATGAATCCACTGAGGTAAGCTTAAAAAGCACAATGGGCATAGAGGAAAAGCTACTAAATGCATAAATTCCCTGGTCGAGGTCCCTGGCACTGGTCAACCCAGGGA